TCTTGAAAGCCAGTTTTTGAATTGTTCTGAGAATTTGGATATAAGCTTAATTTTTGATTCTCTACAGCTTTTCTATTGACACCAAAATGGGTTTCTTTTGAAGAAAGTGCTCAAACTGTCACATATGACAATAGCCGGCAGTTTTCAATTCATCTCAATATTTTCATCAACCCAATAGTTTCATGTTTAGCCACACTACCTAAATTGAACAAAATAACAACTAAAATTAGCCTGCAACAGGGGGAAATTAACAAATACAAGTTTAAAAATCAACATAATCATTATTTATTTTTACGAGTTAGACTGTGGTGACATCGGGAGTTGTAAAAAATTGCATTTTTCTTGGAGGCGCATCGATTTTTTTGAGCATCCTCCGGTACATAGACAATCTTTGTGTCCTAAACAAAACAGAAATTAGTATAAACAACCACAAAAACAATACCTTGTTTTCCATGAATTGAAAACTTTGAATTGATGCTTCACCAATGGCTCCTCGGAAGGAAGTGATCGTGCTAGGGATCGAATCCAATGTAATAAACGTAGTTTCACAAAGATGTAGTTGATTTCTTAATATCATCTCCAAAATCAAGAGCTTATAATCAAAACCTCAAAAATACCTCATACCTCAAAAATTTGTGGGTCAAAGTTGCATTTGAAGTTCCAATTGTGCAAAAATCATTCTCCTCGGCGATGACGGCACGATTTAGGTTTCGATGCCGAATCTTTCGTCGATCAACAGGGTCAATTGCAATCCGCATATTGCTCCCAATATGCAAAGGTGCAAATCTGAACAAATAACTTACAACAAATACAGTGGTTGACAGAAGTATTGTCCCATTGCCATCCAAAAATTTCTTTCGTATGAAAAGTTTGCAAAAAAACGATATTCCCAAAAAGTGTAGGGTATTTTTCTTACTCATTTGCTTGTAAATAATAGAAGATGTTCTTGAATTGGTGGATTCGTTTTTAAGAAATTCCAGTTCAAATCTGTTCAAAGACTGCAATCGTTGCATTTTGAAAATCGAAAACCTTACTTCAAAACCGCCGACTGGTTCGGTAAGTTTTTGAGTGGGATCAACGGTGATCATTGCTATCTAAACGCAATTTTAAAGACTCTATGATAGTCACTCTTTGATAAAATTTAGATTACAACGAAGTTTCACCAAGCTAGCACCGCGTTTCGAAAGAAACGAGAGACCTAGCTCTAGAGCTAGAGGCCAGTGTTCACGCTGATTCCAAATCTGTATTCAAATCTACCCCCGGAGGCCCTTTGAAGCCGTAAAAAGTGCATTTTATTTTAAATAGCCTCTACCGTGACTTAAAAAGTGGTTAGAAAGCATCAAGATTTGACCTTGTGGTCTACTGGTAGTCAAACTAAAAAAAAAGTTTGACTAAACTTTTCCGGGAACTTTCTTTTCAACCTAATATTTTTGCAATTCGAAATTTTAGTTTGAAAGATTAATTACAATTTCTGCTTCTCAAAACGTTCAAAAAAGACTCGAGCATTGCAAAGGACCCCTCTTTGACGTCAGACTGACACTCAACGCATTAAACCACTCGGTCACGCTCATAAGAGGAAATCAAGAAAAAAAGCGAAAAAATCAAGCCTTTTTACAAAAAAAATCGTTTGTCTACCCACAAAACTAATTAGATTTTTGGAAACTACATCAAATTTTGAATATAATACAGCGCATTTCAGATTCTTAAACGCACCCTCTAAAATAGCGGATTTTGCATTTTGACCACCACTACAACTATTAATCTTTTCTTTTCCGTGACGGCTCGCCAAATTGTCGACTTCGAAGCGTCGATTTTCAGTTCCGTTTTCACTTCATTGATCGTTTTTCCGTGAATGTTGTTCACAATATAGCATTTAGCTCGCGGTGTAAGCTTTGGTTTTGGTCCTGGCTTCTTCTTTGGTGCAGAAACAAACTCGGACTTTCTATAATTTCGCACGGCAGAGTCGGATCGGCCCAAATTTTTTGCGATCTTCCTTATTGAGTCGCCAGTCCTCAAACGGGCATCAATCTGGCCTTTCTCATAATCCGTGAGCAGCTTTCCGTGTGCCATTTACCTGGAAATTAACAAAAATTATAAATTTAATAAAAAAACATGCACAACAAAACGAAAAATTTCAAATAACAACAGCAAAGGTGGGTGCGTTTAAGAATTTGAAACCGTTGAGTTAGCAAAAAGTTTCTATTTTGAAAATTTTTACTTTTTAAAGTATGCTTATTTTTCGTGTTTTTTAGGTTTTAAGACGTGCTCTTTCTAATAGAAAAAGATTAATAGTTGTAGCGGTGGTCAAAATGCAAAATCCGCTATTTTAGAGGGTGCGCTTAAGAATTTGAAATGCGCTGTATTATATTCAAAATTTGATGTAGTTTCCAAAAATCTAATTAGTTTTGTGGGTAGACAAACGATTTTTTTTGTAAAAAGGCTTGATTTTTTCGCTTTTTTTCTTGATTTCCTCTTATGAGCGTGACCAAGTGGTCTAAGGCGCTGAGTGTCAGTCTGACGCCAAAGAGGGGTCCTTTGCAATGCTCGAGTCTTTTTTGAACGTTTTGAGAAGCAGAAATTGTAATTAATCTTTCAAACTGTGGTGAAATTTTTAGGCTGATTGGTTCGATCGTTTGGTTTTGAAAAATATTGTCACCTGTGGAAGTCGAACCAGCGACCCTCAGATCAATAGCCTTTCCGCCGCTTTTCGCGATTTTCCTTCGTTTTTCTTGTTTTCTTTTTGCTAAGGTTTTGAAAATTCGTGTCTAGGGGTTATTTTTGACGCTGATCACGAAACATATGTTTTTTAGCCTAGGTTTCTGCACGGAAAACTAACGAAACGTGAAAACAGCCATTTTTTGCTTTTTACTAAAATAGCTGCAAAAACTTTTAAAAAAAAGATATCTCAAAACGGTTTTTACCAATCGATCCGTCTTGAATTCAGCTTTAGGATGAGCTATAAAACGTCAAAATTGGACAAATTTAAGGTACTCTCCCAAAAAATCGGAAAGGACTTTTCCATCAACCCAATACTAGTAAAATCTGGATTACGAATGAACTCGAGTTTTTGAAATTTTATAAGAACTTGAGTTTCAATTCAATTCAATTCAGTTCTCGAGCAAGTAAACAAGAGAATTTTCCCTCATGAACTAACTTTTCCCTCCGTTACCACCTCTCTCAACTTCTCAACTGAAAACTCCAAGAAAATCCTTGCTTTGCTCACAAATTTAACGACCATTTTTTACAAGAAGTCTCACGCTTTTTTTTTCTTCGCTAATCTTTTTCAATTAATGTGTGTGAGTGGATCGCAACAGTCCAAAATGGAGATCCATTGAGAAAGAGCGGCAACTCTTTTATTTTTTTTCACGCGGATCAAAAAGGAATGAGAAATGAGATACACGCTCATTTTCCCATAGTTTTTTAGAAGATGCGGGGAAATTTAAGGACGAAGATCGATGAAATAGCTTCCGTGAAACTTTTTGGCTTCTATAAAAATAGTAAATGACAAGAGCTAGCTAGAGGTTACTGCTAAAATTTGAAAAGAGTTGTGGGAAATTTGGAATAACTCGAGACTGAGCTGGGCAATTTTTTGATTGGCAACAATCTGGTAACAATCTGCAAAATCATGAAAGCAGATCTGATCCCGGATAGCGAATCGTTTCGATCGATCGAGCAGGTCGTTTTTGAGTTCTAATTAGTCGATTTAACAAAATTAATGGCTCTAATCGATTTCTTGACCTCGGAAACCTGAGGGTACAAATTTACAGCTCTAGATCTTCACTGGATACCATAAAAAGAACAAATCAAAAATCTTGGTTCTGTTCTTTGTGCGGCTGCGTAATCGCTCGCCGTCTGGCAAACCGCTTTAGTATAAGAGCTTCCTTTTGAATTGAAAGGAGTTTTGGAAAGGAAAAGGAGAAGGAAAAGGAATGGCTGGGGCGATTTCCCCGCCGTTCCTGGTCGGCAGAATTCTTAAAACCAGCCAAAAAACCCACTTAATCAGGGATTTGGCAATCTGGCAGTGCTTGTCATTGTGGCACAGTCGGGAACGCATTTGTCCACAGCCTACACGATCCGGGTTCGTGGCGTTGTCGTTGTCATCGTGGCGCAGTCGGGAACGCGTTTGCCTACAGCCTAGACGATCCTCCGTAGTTTCACTCAACTTTGAATTTTTATTTTAAATAGCAAAACCACAATATATTCCGCGGTTTTCTAAAGAAGTTTTAGCTTTATTGGTCAAGAAAAACGGCTAAGAAAATGCCCGTACAGACAGACAGACTGCTCTTTTATATATAATAGATTTTTGAGATGAGTTTTTGCCTGAAATTTGGGTGTATTTTTCTAAAAATTGAAATTGAAAACATTTCCTGTCCTCTACACATTAGCATTATATTAAAAAACCATTATTCAACTTATCAATCCCAATCGTTCACGGATTCGCAACTCACTTTCATCGCCATTCATAATTCATCCAATCGCTGGGACGAAGATTGGAAAGAGAATGGATTTAAAAGAAATTTAGAGAACAAGGGAATCTTTCTCACTTTTTTCGACTTGTCGGCACCTTTTTTTTCGGCTTTCTTCGACTACAAGACACCGCAAAAGAGCTGAATTATGGGTCTTACGGTAGAACATTTTTTATAAAAAAGTTTTGTGAGAAAAGGTGATCAATTGAGATCTTCAAAAGAGGCAAAAGAAACTGGGAATTTTGATTTGAGATATCATTCGACTGAATCATCTAAAGTATTTCTATTTTATTATTGAAATTGACGATTTTAAAAGAAGAAAGACAAGGTTTGTCTATTCATTTTCTTCATTTATATTGTCTATTCATTTTCTTCAAACAGTTTTCATAGATTTACAAACAATTTTTTTGTAAAAAATCTTTCACAAAGTAATCTTTTCAATCTGCTTTCAAGTTTTTGATAGACTTTGATTTCAAAAGTTCTATTAGATTTTTACAAAATAGAATACTTTGAGGGTTTTCTCATCCCCTGACAATGAATCTCTCACTTGACAAAACGTTGGATTCCCTTGCTTCCACGATTCACACCAAGGCACTTGATCCCGACATTCTCTACTCTTTTCCTTGTAAGTCCAAGCTCTCGATTTGTGAGATTTCAATTGTGAGCTTGGTGTGGCTGTAGTTGTCTTCCACCATGGTCTAGCGGTTGTCCACGGTGCGGTTGTTGTAGTGAACCACCAAGGAACTGTTGTTGTCGTTTTCCACCAGGCTTTCGTTGTAGGGATTGTTGTCGTCTCCCACCATTGAATTGGTCTAAAAATTGCTTGATTTTCTAGCAAGTACTGGCTTAACTATAAGCCATAATTTCAATCTTATAAGTTAGACAATGGTTAGTTCTGAAACTGAGCCCAGGTTTGCTTTGAACCTGACAAAACCCGCCAGGGCCGGGTTTTTGGACCAAAACCCGAAGAAAGACAAGGTTTGTCTATTCATTTTCTTCATTTATATTAAAAATCAAACAGTTTTCATAGAGTTACAAAGAATTTTTTTGTAAAGAATCTTTCATAAAGTAATCGCTTCAATCTGCTTTCAGGTTTTTGATAGATTTTAATAGGTTGATGCATAAGTCTTTTCGTTTTTTTCGTACTTCTGTTAAAAAGTAACAAATTCACCAATTAATCTATAGTTTGCTCTATAAAAAAAAGTGTTTTTTTGTTCAATTTGCATCTTTTTAAATCAATTTCGGTTCACTTTCAAGCAAATTCGAGAGTGAAAAACGCCTTTTTCGTAAAAATCTATCAAAAACTCTACGGAAAAATTGGCTGAATGAATTTCTCTGAAATTTTGGCGAAATATCAAACGTTTTTTTTCTCTATCTTTTATCTATTGACACGAAGATAGGTTTTCTTTAGCTAAGGTGTCTAAACCGCATCATCGAGTTAGCCCTTTTTGACTACCCGACTTTCATACTCTCAAGAAAATCCAGGCATAAAATATTTTTAAACCCGTTTTAATGTTATTTTGCAGAAAAATAATTGGTTTTTCTAATGAAATCAACCGTAGTTTAATTGGTGCATTTGTTGGCTTGAAACGGCAGACGAAAAGGAACAAAAAGACTTATGCATCAGCCTAATAATTTCAACATTTCTTTTGATAGATAGTTTGATAGATTCTTGATTTTGATGGATAGTTAACTTCCTCTGAAGTAAGGAAAGTCAAACACCTTGTAGTGTAATGGTTAGCAAAGTTGCCGGTAACCGAAAGTAACCGGTTCGAGTCCCGTCAGCCCACAAGTTTTTCGTCTGCCCTAGTTCCCACTTGATTGTTACTAGATTTTTCAAAAGGTTGTCCAACATGTACTAACTGTTTAAAAGCAATAAATACTACACAACGATTAAATGTTTCAATCAGGTAATGCAGTCAGGCTCATCAGAAGGATCCAGGTCCGTCTTTTGTTTAGGACTTTAGTTGACTTGTAGTCTGCAAGCCAGAAGTTTCACCAAAAACCTGGCCCTGGTTCTGAACTGTCCCAAAAAACTGGGTTTGAAACAAGCCTGAAAATGAGCAGAGTTTCCAAATTCTAATAGTGTAAATCTCAGCTATGAGCATTTATCTTTTAACATTTTTTCCGTAACTTTTGAGATCCGTCCGTCCGTTCGTCCGTCCGTTCGTTCGTCCGTCCGTTCGTCCGTTCGTCCGTTTGTCCGTTCGTTCGTCCGTTCGTCCGTCCGTTCATTCGTTCGTCCGTCCCTTCGTCCGTCCGTCCGTCCGTTTGTCCGTTTGTCCGTTCGTTCGTCCGTTCATCCGTTCGTTCATCCGTCCGTCCGTCCGTCCGTCCATTCGTTCGTCCGTCCGTTCGTCCGTTCATCCGTCCGTTCGTCCGTCAATTCGTTCGTCCGTCAATTCGTTTGTCCGTTCGTTTGTCCGTTCGTTCGTTCGTCCGTTCGTTCGTTCGTCCGTTCGTTCGTTCGTCCGTTCGTCTGTACGAGTTCTCGGCTGTTTTACATGCTTTTTAGTTTGTTATGCTTAGAATTCTATGTAGTTGTGCATATCATATTTTATTTTTTTTAAAAACAGAAATCATGATACAGTTGGGAGTCAAACCTTGATCATGTGAGCCGTAGACAAGCGCGCTTCCGACTGTGCCACGGCGACTACGCACTAGTTCCAAAACATTCAGCCACAAAAACTATCCGTTAAGCGGGTTTTTCGGCTGGTACGAATTAAAAGGCAAAAGCCGAAGACAAATCATTTCTGTTTAAAATCATTTTACATAAACATCAAGGTAAAGGTTTGACTTGGCTTTAGCTCGGCTCTAGCTTGGCTTTAGCTTGGCTTTAGCTTGGCTCTAGCTTGGCTCTAGCTTGGCTCTAGCTTGGCTCTAGCTTGGCTCTAGCTTGGCTCTAGCTTGGCTCTAGCTTGGCTCTAGCTTGGCTTTATCCTAGTAAATCTGGTCTCTGGTTCACCCTTACTCGTTTCGAATCAAACAGTTTTCCAAAGCATATCAAAATTTTGACAAGAGTACTACGAAATAAACTACTACAACAAATTGACCTACCATAAATCCAATATAAATCCAATATCATCAAGTCTCAGCTATGGGCATGCTTCCCGGAATGCCTCTATTCTTCTCCAACACCCTGTTCCCACCAGCGATCGCAATTTCTTTGATTCAACAGAAGCTCAAGGATTTTCAGGTAACAAATAAGAATTGCTTTCTTATGCAAAATCTAGACTCGGCAAGAGATGATCAGCTCTGATTCCACTAGCCCAAAAGCCTCAACTTCGAGATCTCTTGAAACCGGACTCTCGAAAATTGCTTCAATTACTCCAAAATCAGCAGTAACATCCGTTTTTAAGAACGAAAATGATTCATTCACTAAAAATGAATCAAAAGCTAGTGATGAAGCTATTGGAATTTACGCACACATTCTCGATGAAGCGCCCGTCAAGAAGCTCACCTATTCGCGTGGGGTTTTGGAATTGAGTTGTTAGCAACCAATTGACAATTGAGTTGTTAGCAACTAAATAACAATAGAATATCAATTTTTAAGCTTGTTCTCCTACGAGAAATCGTTACGGGAGGATCTACGTCTCGGGACGGCCACTCGTTATGAAGGATCGCTTGAAAATTGTGGAGTTGCATCAAAAGGTTGCGATCGATTAAATTAAAGTCGATTTTTAGGTTATTAACATGTAGATCTTTGAAAATTTAACGAATTTCAGGGCTACAAGAAAATCAACATCGCAAAAGAGCTCGGCGTTACGCATAGCTGCGTGAGCAAGGTGTTGCGCAGGTTTGACTCTTTTTTTGCTTCTTGATCAAAGGCTTCTTGATCAAAGACAACTTTTCTTAAAAATTATAAAACGTTTTTGATTTTTAGATATTTGGAAACCGGTAGCGTTGAGGCAAAGAACGTAAAGGAAACAAAAAAACAACGAAAAAAGCGAGAATTCGAAAACGATCTAATAACGATTGAGCCAGTGCATGAAAAGAAGAAAATGCTTAGTTTTACGATTGAGAAGTGAGTCGGAATTGAATTTATATTGAAAAGGGATCAATTTTATACAATAAGAGGCTAGATATCAAGAGGCTAGACCAAATTTACCAGGATAAAGCTAAACCAAAAACCCAGTCAAGGCTAAGGCCAAGCTAAAGCCAGGCCATAGTCCTCAGTTAGGTTCAGCGGGGATTTCTTGCTTGAATCTTTTTTAAAAGTTTGACTTTTCCCTCAAACTCATGAATTGATTTGGTCAATTTGTCAAAGCGTCTGTTTTTCTTTCAGAAAACGTCTAGAACTTTTCGTCGGTAGATCAATGATCGAGTTTTCCCGATTATTGATCTAACGCGTTTTTTTAAAACGTTGCAACTTTCGAAACTACTATAATCTTGGTTTTATCAAGTCTGTCAGCTTATTTTCTGACTCTAAAAGAGTTAGAGATGGCTATTGAAAGATAGAACAAATATTGGGTTGGTGAATTGAAAACTGCCGGCTATTTCGCGGGAGTCGTAGATAAAAAAAACAATAGCATTGAACCAGCTGAAAGAGCGGTTTGTTTACTTCAATATTTCCTCTAATTATTGCGAAAAAATTATGCTTCCAGCTTTTTATTTTTTGGTATTTTTCTTCACTTCTATTGCACTCGACAATCTACCACCGGGACATATTCGCCATGTCATGCTTCATGAGTTCCTACAAGAGAACAGCACAAGCTTGGCAGCTGCTAATATTAAAAAGATATATAAGGAGGACTCACCTTCCGAAAGAACGTATGGTTTGCCAAGTTTCGATCTAGGGACAAATCTTTGAAAGATGCAGAGGGCCGTGGAGCGGCACCCAATTGATGATTCCAATTGATGAACTGGATGATTCCAAATTACTCGAACTCATTACCAATGACCATCGGGTATCATCGCGTGAATTGGGAGAAGAGTTAGGAGTTGATCATGCTACAGTGCTAAGGCACCTTCATAAATTTGGATTTAGATCGAAACTTGGGACTTGGGTGCCCCATGCCCTTGGGAACCCCTCATTGAGGCTTAGAAGTGGCAGTGCTCCTCCATCAGTGCCACTCATCTCTCACGATACGAAAGGAAATCTTTTCTTCCTCGAATTGTGACAGGAGATGAGAAATGGGTTTTTTCTGTGAACTTTCGGAGGAAGCGGCAATGGGTGGGTCCAGGCGAGAAACCTGAAAGTGACCCCAAGCCCGATTTGCACCAGAAGAAGTTTATGCTCTGCGTTTTCTGGGAGATGGAGGGAGTGGTATACTAGGAGTTGCTGGATAGCAAGACGACCCTTAATGCAATCGAATACAGTGAACAGTTGGAAAAGGTGAATGAATCCCTGAAGAAGGATAGGCCCTCGAAGTCAAAGATCGTTCTCATCCACGACAACGCGCGCCCTCATGTTGCAAAACTGACTCGCTCTATCTTTAAATCTGAATGAATCTTTAAATGAATCCCTTTTATCTGCGAGTCCGGCGAAATAGCCAGCAGTTTTCAATTCACCAATCCAATAGATTGATAGCCAGAATACGGTAGATTTTAAAAGCTGACATGTTTTAGAAAACTCAGAAGAACGATAACACTAAGCTAAAGAAAGAACAAATAGATAGATTGATAGATAAAGGAATCTACTTGAAGCTAGTTCAGAACGTCTTCAGTGGGCTAGTGCTCAAAACCGATCGATCCGAGATCATTAGATCATTGATAGACTTTTCTAATTGGAAGCACAAATTGAACGCCAAATCCATCATCTTTCCAATAACTTTCAGCCTCCTCTCCTCTCAACGAGAACTCGTTAAATTCACCTCGAAGTGAAGAACTATCAATTCACCGAAATGTGATATTTTATTGATCTCATTATGTTAAATATATCAAAAATAACAATCAAAAAGACCCGAAATGCCTTATGAAATAAAACTGAAATCAGAAAGCACAAATACAAAAGACAAAGTTCACGACTAGTTTTGATGAGAAAGGAGTTGAAAGATTGCCACAAATGTATACAGAATTCATAGATTTTTGCTTATCCTTGAATCTTGATGATTGCCTCTTGTTCATTTTTAAGTTTATCATGGAAAACGAGTCCCGGAGCCAAGAGTCGAGCCTTTTCGATTGGAATCTGAAATGTGAATGAGATTATTATGGACACTTCAGCGGTAAGTGTAAAATGTTTTCAGAGTAGGGTAATCAGTTTCTAGAAATTCTGCTTAAGGTTTAAATCTATCAAAATTCTTTGAACTACCTCTTCATCTTGATAAATGATCTCCACTTCAACGGGTTTTGTCGTTGCAACTCCTCGCGCTCCTGGTGGAGTAGGCGCTATTGTGATGATGAAGACGGGTATAGTTTTTCTCGTAGTTGTAGTTGTAGTGGTAGTCGTCGTTGTAGTAGTCGTTTTTGTGGTAGTTGTAGTTGTGGTAGTTGTAGTGGTCGTAGTCGTCGTAGTCGTGGTCGTTGTTGTCGTTGTTGTCGTTGTCGTCGTTGTTGTCGTTGTTGTCGTTGTCGTGGTCGTTGTAGTAGTTGTCGTTGTTGTCGTTGTTGTCGTTGTTGCTGTCGTTGTCGTCGTTGTTGTGGTTGTTGTTGTTGTTGTTGTTGTCGTTGTTGTCGTTGTCGTGGTCGTTGTAGTAGTTGTCGTTGTCGTCGTTGTTGTCGTTGTTGCTGTCGTTGTCGTCGTTGTTGTGGTTGTTGTTGTTGTTGTTGTTGTTGTTGCTGTCGTTGTTGTCCTTGTTGTTGTCGCCGTTGTTGTCGTCGTTGTCGTCGTTGTCGTCGTTGTCGCCGTTGTTGTCGTTGTCGTTGTACTAGTTGTACTGGACGTCGTGCTTCTTGTTGTCTTGATAGAAGTTGTTGTTGCTGTTACCGGTGATGCGGTTTGAGTAGAAGATGCTATGGTTGAACTCATCATAGGTGTAACAGCTGTTGTAGAAGAGTTCAATGTAGTGGATTCTATTATTGTTTTAGCAGTCACGTTCGTTTTTGGCTCCGAAACTGTGGTAATGATTCCAGTCGCGGTTGTGTTTTCAACTATCATTGCCAGTGATGGTGTTGTAGACCCATTGTTGTCAACAGCTCCAGTTATAGCTCCAGTCGTTGATCCAATAGCGACTTCAATCAAAGGCTCTGTTATTGGAGTTGCTTTAGTGGATTTTGTGGGGGTTGTTTTCAGATCAAGATTGGCAGGCAATGTTGTTACCATTGTTGAAAGAGTTGTAGACAAAGTTGGTTGAATTTCTGGTTCCGTTGAAGCTGAGGTACTGCTCTCAACTGCAGTTGTTGACTGATCCAAGCTTACAGTTGTATTTGACTTTCTCGTTGAAATGGATGATTGAGCAATAATTGCTGTAGTAGGCAAAAGTGTTGTTGTTTCAATAGGAGAAGGCTTGGTTTGAGTAGATTCGATTGTTGGGGTTGATTTGCCCAACTTTTCTTCAACTTTTGTTGTGTCAAAAGTAGAGGACTCAGTTGGCAAATTTTTTAGGGTAATAGTTGTCTTTTCACCAAAGAAAACAGTGGTTCCATTGATTTTTCCCAGAATTTTTGACTGTTGAATTGAAGTGGTTGATTGATTAGTGGAAACAGTCGTTTTTGATGGATTCTCATTAATAAAAGGCTTTTTTGCTAATTCAGTGGTTGTAAATTCAGTGCTCTTTGACAGAGCTGTAGATGAAGTTGAAGAAATTGTACTAGTAGCTCTTGTAGCCTCTAATCCAATCAATCCTTTTGTTGGCACAAATTTGGTTGAGCTAGATGTTTTGTTAAATTGAGGAATTAATTCAGTTGTAGTCTTGGATCTATCTATTGTACTTGAAGCAGTTACTCCCTTTGTTGGCACAAGCTTGATCAAAGTTGACCCAGTTGAACCCACTACATTCCTTGCCGGTCCAACGGTTGGTGATACTTTGCCTCAACAGTTCTAGTACTCGTTCTCATTCTTGGACCAACTGTCGTACTTCTCACTCCATTCATTGTCATTCTTAGATAACCAGTGGTCGTAATGGTCGTTTTTAAACGATTCGTTGACCAAATTGAAGCTTTTGTATGACTTGCTTGGTTGAATTGCTTGGTTCTAGACTCGTATCTTCTTGTTGATGCAGTTCTCTGCTCTGTCAGTGTCTCCTCCCCATAACCAGAAGCCTCCACAGGTGGCTGAGTAGGCAAATACTCTTTATAATCCTGATAACCGACTTGTTGATATTGTTGTCGTTGAGGTAGCTTCAATCGATAGTTTGGTCGTTTATTCAACGCCCATCGAACTCTTATTGGTCGCCGTTCAGAAGCAATTGCTGGTTGATTTTCTCTTTGTGGTTGCTGTCGAAATTGAGAGATTCTATTTTTTACTGTCCACGGTTGGTAGCTTGGCTTTCTCAGTTGTTGATACGAGTAATAGCCTCGTTCTGGCTTCATTGGTGGTCGATGGCGATGGTGGTGATGTCGGTGATGCCGAGGTCTAGAAATTGATTCATTTTTCCAACTCAATCAGGAAGGTGGCTCATTTCAAGTATTTTAAACTCTAGCACTCACTCAAATTGCTAATATTTAAAACTAACTTCCAGAAATCCTCCTCACTCGATTCCGTGCAAAAACTCTTGTAAAACTCGACATTCCAGTGACTTGGATTATTTCGAAGAGCTGCTCGAATTCGGTTACATTTCGCGGATAGGGGTGATCTAAAATACAAGATAATTTAAAAATGACAGTCATAGGGCCAAATCAAGCCTCAAGTCAAGCTTAAAGTCAAGCTTAAAGTCAAGCCTCAAATCAAGCCTCAAATCAAGCCTCAAGTAGCCTCAAGTCAAGCTTAAAGTCAAGCCTAAAGTCAAGCCTCAAATCAAGCCTCAAGTCAAGCCTAAAGTCAAGCCTCAAATCAAGCCTAAAGTCACAAATCAAGCCTCAAATCAAGCCTAAAGTCAAGCCTTAAGTAGCCTCAAGTCAAGCCTCAAATCAAGCCCCAAATCAAGCCTCAAATCAAGCCTCAAGTCAAGCCTCAAGTAGCCTCAAGTCAAGCTTAAGGTCAAGCCTAAAGTCAAGCCTCAAGTCAAGCCTAAAATCAAGCCTCAAGCTAAGCCTCAAGCTAAGCCTCAAGCTAAGCCTAAAGCCTAAAAAATTTATCAACTTTAAAGCTTTACAAGATAATTTGAGCCAATAGAAAAGTCTTTTTAACGACATAATTAAAGCAGCTGTTGCAATCATAATTAAAGCAGCTTAAGTTGCAATTATTTCACTCAAAAAGTACCTCTATCAAAACTTTGAAAAGTTCACTTCAACAATTTAACCCAATCGATTCTTTTGATCAATTCTAATCAAAGATAAAACTGTTGAACCTGTCAAAACTCGCTCCATCAATCAACGAGCGGCACGTGATCGTCCCAACAATTAACCATAACCACATTTAAAGCAATAACAGGTATAATGAAAGAAAATTCGTTCAGAAATAAACAGATATGAAAAAGCACAAGTGGTTGCCCAGATCTTTTGCTTTTTCTTTTTTGCTTTCACCCTGACCGTTCCTTCATTTCACTCCTAGAAAATCCCAATGGCATCTCCATTTTCAACTCCGATAGCGATCTAGAAAAAACGAATGCGCGGAAAGGAAAATGTGTGCAAAAATTTGGGGTGAGAGATTTCTCACCTTTTCTTTGCCACCTTTTCTTTGGACAAGACTTTTCTTTGCCTTTTGGTTTCTTTTTATTTTAGATCTAGCACATTCATCTCGTTTCACAGTTATTTGAAAGAAAAAATAATGAATGATTTGGTTTACTGAGAAGGAACTAGAAATGGTAATTGATTTGTGGATCAAGAATGGTTTTTGAGTGCTTCAGATTTGCTTAAAATAGATTTTTTTCAGCTAAGCACTTTGTTTTTACAAACTTTCACTTTTCACAAAGGTAATCTCTAATTTGTGATTAAATTTTAAATGTAGATGGAGTTGAAGAAGCTGTACTAGTAGCTCTTGTAGCCTCTAATCCAGTCACTACTTAGTTGGCAAATTTTTTAGGGTAGTAGTTGTCTTTTCACCAAAGAAAACAGTGGTTTCATTGATTTCTCCCAGAATTTTTGACTATTGAATTGAAACGGTTGATTGATTAATGAAAACAGTCGTTTTTGATGGATTCTCATTAATAAAAGGCTTTTTTGACAATTTAGGAGTTGTAAAACGATTTGACAGAGCTGTTGAAGTTGAAGAAATTGTACTAGTAGCTCTTGTAGCCTCTAATCCAGTCACTTCTTTTGTTGGCACAAGTTTGGTTGAGCTAGATGTTTTGTTAAATTGAGGAATTAATTCAGTTGTAGTCTTGGATCTATCTATTGTACTTGGAGCAGTTACTCCCTTTGTTGGCACAAGCTTGAACAAAGTTGACTCAGTTGAATCCACTACATTCCTTGCCGGTCCAACGGTTGGTGGTACTTTAGCCTCAACAGTTCTAGTCCTCGTTCTCATCCTTGGACCAACTGTCGTACTCCTCACTCCACTCATTGTCATTCTTAGATCACGGTCTTGTTGTTCATCAAAAATCAAACATCAAACAGTCGTTGTGGATGGATTCTCATTAATAAAAGGCTTTTTTGCTAATTCAGGAGTTGTAAAACGATTTGACAGAGCTGTTGAAGTTGAAGAAATTGTGCTAGTAGATCTTGTAGCCTGTAGCATACCTATTAGTTATGAATAGATTTGCTCTTTCGCATTCTATTGAAAGCACAATGCACTTTTTTGACTCTTTTTCAATCCTTGAAACTTTAGAAAAACTAAAAAGCTTTTGCTCTCTGAAAGAGGATTTCTTTGATCAATATCTTTAATTTCTTTGTTGTTTCTAGTAAACCATTTTGTAAAAGCAATAAAGCAAAAAACTCAGTTCAAACACAGCATTTTGTTGTATTGAATTTGAACATTTATTGGCTTACTTTCATTAAATTTCTGAATCCTTCTTGCAAATGTACCTTGGTATTTTCGTCCAAGAAGCATCCCTCTGATGATAATGAAAACTACTTTTTCTATTGTAGACATTTTCATTAACAATCTAAAACTAGATATTTTATGAGATTTAAAAATAAAACAACCGATACTGTAAAAGATGATGTTTCATCGTCGTCCCGAAGATGTGAAATTGTGGTACCATCTGTCCAACCAAATTGTTTAAGGTGACGAAAATAGCCAGTCCACACGTGAAACATATTTGTGTCTTCTCGAACTTTCTCCGGTAGAACCTCGTTTAAACTGTCGATATAAATCATGTCTAAGCGTGAAACTATTACTCTAATATTCAGTCTGCTAATTTTGTTTTGTTTTATAAGTGCTAAGCAGTTTGGTGAGTTTTAGAAAACTACCCACTCAACAAATCGCACTATTTTTTAGGTTGAATACTAAATCTTGCACCCAGATTCATTTTCTAATTGAATAAGTCTCAAGCTATCAAATGAAATACGATTTTCATTAAATAGCCTAATCATTTCTCTTTCAAATGACTTTTGAAAGTTTCTGGAAAGCTTTGTTTAGAAGATTTTTCATTAGCAAGAAGCCGAGTGTTTAAAAAAACCAAAATTGACAAAATAATTGACAAAAGGTAGCACACAAAAAGTTAGATTTACAACCAAAATTTCAGAATAATTCGTTTAGCGGTTTTCTTTATGTGCTCATTTTTCAATATTTTTAAAAATACTAGTTTTCTTTCTCGCAGATTACCTTATTTTCTCTAATAGCAGTGCACAGTTGGTGACTATTTTACGGTTTCCAAGCTTTTGCAGAAGCTCAACACTCAAATCCCCCACTAGATCTCATCGTCAGCTACATTTTCCAACCCCACATCGATCGATTCTGGTAAGCGGTTCTCAAGATTTCAAGCAATTTAGGCAAAGCTTTGGATGCACTACTATTAGAGAGAATACGGCATTAAAATATGACTTGGACTGGCTTTAAAGAAACTAGACTAAGCAGACTAGCTTTAATATTAATTTGAGAGAGTAGGAACTAGACCAAGTTTAAGTCTGGTATCTGGCTTGACTTCCGTCAAGAAATTAGTCGACCCGCTTCCACCCAAAAATACTTTTACAATTTGTTAAATACAGATCTCTTCTTTCTATATATATTCACAGTATTCTAGGTCTAATTGTAGGTATTCTCTTTACTAGTAGTGCACCGGGGCGAGTCGAGTTGGTGACTATTTTACGGTTTCCAAGCTTTTGCAGAAGCTCAACACTCAAATCCCCCACTAGATCTCATCGTCAGCTATATTTTCCGACCCTACATCGATAGGTTTTGATAAGCGGTTCTCGAGATTTCAAGCAATTTAGGCAAAGCTTTGGATGCACTGCTATTAGAGAAAATACGGTATTCTAAAAGACTAAAAATTGTTTTAAAATGACAAAAAGTAAACGATAAACATTTAATGAAAGAAGCCGTTTGATATTTGGTAGTTTAAGACTCATTCATTTAGATAATGAAATGAAAGGTGCAAGAGTTACAAGGGAACTGTTTCAACTCGGCATTGAGTTGAGAAAGGAGACCTAGCTCAAAAAAAAACCCTCTGAAAATTTTAAGAGACACCTTATTTTTCAATTTAATGAACCAATACAAAATTTTCAGGAAAAGAAGAGAGAAAAGCTTATAACTGTAGGCCGAGAGTAGCCGAGTGCTCTTGTCTCTAACCCACACGACCCGGGTTCGACTCCCGCCCACGTCGACACTTTTGGTTTTTTAAAAATTTAAAAACATTTTGCACAACTACATGAAATTCTAAGCCAAACTAACTATAAATCATTATAAATCATCATAGAAACGGTCCTTTGTAGCTTACTGACCGTATAAACACTTCATAAACACTTCATAAAACTTAAAAATGAGTTTGTAACTTAACAAAAAGCAAAAAAATGATATTGAGGGGAATCGAACCACAATTAAAAGGCTCAAGACGCGGGCAAACTATCCCCTTCGCCATCCGGGTAGTATTTGAATAGAAGTAATTCGGCGCTATACCGTGGCGAAGCTGTTTTTCCAAAGAGTGCCCAAACTGTAAAAGCATTTTCTTCGAAAATTTTGTATTGGTTTAGTAAAATTGAAAAACATGTGTCTCTTAAAATTTTGAGAGAGGATTTTTAAGCTAGATCTCATTTAAATAATAATAATAATAATAAATACCGTAAAAACTCTAATAGAATTTCTCAACTCTTCAAAATCCCCCTTTCTATTTCTCAACACCTCAAAATCGGTCTCAATCAGTCGGCCAAAAAATTAGAGTGTTTTCCTCGCGAGCAATGCGTTTTTTAAAATGAACCCTTGGGAAAAAATTACCGTACTTTAAGCAAAAGTTATTGCAAAAAATGGGGTAGGCTAGTTTCCGCAACTTTTTTTTGCGCAACAAGGTCATTTGCGCAAATGGGTCTTTTGCGTAACAGGGTCCTTTGCGCAACTCGCCATAACTTTCTTCTAAGTGGATCAATCTTTATGATTTTGGTTTCATTTTGTTGCACCTATTGAGATCTACAAAATGAAACCAAAATCATAGAGATTGGGCCACTTAGAAGAAAGTTATGGCGAGTTGCGCAAACGATCCTGTTGCGCAAATGACCCTGTTGCGCAAAAAAAGTTGCGGAAACTACCCCCAAAAAATGACACAAAAATCACGAGCGCCGCATTATATACGACACTTTTTAAAGATACTCAGCCGTTTAACTGATTTGGTGGGAAATTCCGTTCGAATGTGAAAAATGATTTTTTGAAAAACCTGCGCAAAAAATTGCTTCTATATTTTTTTCGCGCAGGCGCACTTTTTAGAAAACGCATTACTCGAAAATTACTCATGCAAATTTACTCGAGTAATTACTTACTCGCGAGGAACACACTCTATTTTTGAGCTAGATCTCCTTTTCCAACTCAATGCCGAGTTGAAACAGTTTCCTAGTTAGTACACAACATACTAATGTTTCAAGCTTCACTATTGGCTTTCTCACTTTGAGCAAACACAAAAGATATACTGATTAGATCAGTCTAGTTACCTAAAACATTTGAATTAAACTTTTAACATGTCAAGGTTTATTTTTAAATGATTTGACATGCTAAATTCTAGATAAGGACCTAAAACAAAATGAAATTCGTCCACATTATGAATTGAAACCAAATGAGCGGAGAGCAATTTACAATTCTCTTCAGCTGTACTCCGTTTAAACAATTGAATTTCATTGTCATTGTTATAGGTGAAATTCTAAAGTTTTTGTTATTGATTATTTAAGAATAGCATTAGTTCACCTGCAGAAAATAGCATTTTTTTGTTTTCTCAAAGTAAGTCCATCCAGAAATGCACAAAGATCTAGAGTGATTACTTATTTATAATAACTCTTGAGTCAAACTTCTCTTCATTGCAATTGTGAAGTGAATCTCTGCATGTTCTCAGCCTAAAG